AATTAGAGCATTAGAATCATTTTTTGGTAATACAAAAGCATGTAAGTATATCATAATTAGTTTGATAGACTTTTTAATATAGTGTAGTAGGCCAGCTTAATAGTAAACAGGTGGTATGCATTCTCAAATGCTAACATTTAAGATTACAAAACCAAAAGCATTTTCAACAAACTAACCCTTATCGTTCATGTTGATTGGTGAAAAACATTTTTCGATAATATGTAGCAAAAACTTGAAAGCTTCATGAAAATATTGAACAAAAAAGCTCTACAAGAAAATAACATATACACGCGCACACTTATATTTTCATCTCGAGATTTATCCTTCGATGTTTGCTAGGGGTGTTAATAGTTTTAGGATAGAAAGGATGTCACTTAGTCTTGGTATCATTTGCACAGATCATTAAGTACAATTCTAATGATCGAATGAAATTAAAAATTTAGCAACAATAATAAAGTTAATAAAGAGGCATGAAAAAAACTGAGAAATAAAAAACAGATATGAAATAAGTTTATGAAGACTTAGGATTGTATGAAAGTGTAGAACATTCAACATACCTTCTACATATCCAATCTCCCTACTTAACATCAATTTGATCCCCATCAAAATTACGGCTCAAGAAGAAGATATTAAGAGAGCGCAGTTCCAACATCCCTCTTTACAGCCTTCACCCATCGTCGTTTCCACCCGAAAAGATAATTTATTTGTATCCTATCATACAAGTTCAAAAATATAAGAAGAATCAGTGAACTAATAAAAAATTCCACGCTCCGATCAGTAATCAGTTACCATAAATCATTGAATTTATATTTGATAATAATTAATTAAAATTTAAAATTCCAAAACTATCTTTATCAAATGATTGGTTCAAAATTAGTCTTACATTCACACAATAACTAAATGTTATATATGATCCTAATTATATATATATATATATATATATATATATATATATATATATATATATATATATATATATATATATATGGGCTAGGTTATTTTGTTTTTTACATTTATTGTGTGCTAGAATGCACCAATACGAATTTAGTAAATTAAATAATTATTTAATTAAGTAAATATAGATATTAAATGATTTCCATAATTATATTTATATTAAATGATATCCATAATTATAATTTTCTTTTTATGAAAACTAATTAAATCCGTCATTAATCTCAGCAATAACATTCTTTCAGAATGAATTCACATCTAAGTGTTTATATATGAGTTTGTATTTTGTTTCAGGACTCACTCGCTTAAAATACAATAAAGTTGTATGGAATATGAAGAACGAGAGTGTATTCTACAAGAATATACTCTCATTCTTCTAGATATGAACTCATTCTGAAAGAATATTATTGTTGACATTAATGACGAATTTAATTAGTTTCCATAAAAATGAGTTATAAGTAAGGATAGCATTTAACATACATATAATTAATACTAAATTTCTATTGATGCATTCTAGCATAAAATAGATGTGAAAAACATTTGAACCTACCTCATATATATATATATATATATATATATATATATATATATATATGTATATATATATATATATATATATATATATATATATATATATATATATACATACATACATACTAGATGCATACCTGCGCGATGCGGCGGCGATGATTTGTTGCATTCTGGCAATTAGTTTCCGAACGAAAGTTAGTGTCATTCAGCGCTCCTCAAATTGTTTCCTTTCGATTTGTTTCATTTCGATGATTCGTTCATTCCGACGATACCTAGACGATTTGTTTCATTCCGACGATTTGAACAAACAGAGGATCATAAATCTCACAAAAAGTAAATCGTGGCTTGGAATACAAAATCGATTACCAATATTGATATACAAAATCGAGTGCATACATTCAGAAGATAAAATAAAAGAAAACCCTAACTTTAACCGTTGCTGATAATAGAGAAAGAATGATAGATCATGGTGTAGTGGTCCGATGTAGTAGATGTTGTAGGTGCGACGTTTTACGTTGATGGTGGTTATCTTTTGTAATAAAGGTGGAGATGATTGTCAGGAGTAGGATGGAATTGAGATTAAAAGAAAACCCTAACTTGTGAAATTATGTTTTTTATATAAATATGATTTTATAAAGAAAAAAACTTTCAGATTTTTTTTTGGACTAAAGTTAGGATGAATTCATAATAAAATTCTAAAATTTGGGCCAAAGATGTATATTTTGGACATATATATATATATATATATATATATATATATATATATATATATATATATATATATATATATATATATATATATATATAAACACCTATTTTATAATAAATGCATTTGTATTCAAAAACATTTATATATAATATAGGTGTTTGTAAAATACATGTATGTATACATTTTTTTTTATAAAAACACATTTGTATATATTTATGTACTTAATAAATACTTAATTTTATAAATAGGTATTTTGTATACAAAAATAAAAAATAAAAAAAGGTTTTATAAAGTAAATATAAATTTTTTTATGTCAAAATATGTTTTTTTGGTATAAATATGATTTTATAAAGAAAAACATTTGAATTCTTTTTTGGAAAAAAAAAATTGTATAAAAAACTAAAGTTTGGATGAATTCATAACAAAATTCTAAAATTTTGGCAAAAAAGGTATATTTTGGACCAAATTTGTAAAGAAAAAATTTAAAATTCAGGTAAAAAGTGTAAATTTTGTACCCAATTTGTAATAAAATTTGAAATCTGGGCCAAAATGTAATTTTTGAAAGTTGGATGAACTTTTGACCCAGTAAATGATTAAATTGAATACGATTACCTGTTTTGGAACTTAATTGAATAAAAAATATATAGGATCTAAATCGATTATAAGGTCAATATATAGGGACTTTATTACATTGTTCCCTTATTTTAATGTTGAAGATTATGTCAACGGAAAATGTTAAAAGGTGATATTTTTTTCTTCAATTGTCTATATATCCTATGTCTTCGTGTGCTTATGATGACGTTCTTTGGATGTTGGAAGGATTAAAATCAAATAGAATTTTTAGCTCATACTTCTCACTTCCTCTTTCTCCATACACGTGTGTTCTTTAAATTTTTTCAAAGATGATTCTGATGGTGTATAGTCTTTGACAGCTGTCCATTTTCTTTTTAGAGAAAAGAGAACAACAATTGGATGTTACTTTCTTAAACGAAAGGTATTCCATCTGTGAAAGCCTTGGTTTTTTTTTTCTACAAAGCATTGTAATTCTCATTTTCATCATGGAGGTTTATCCAAATAGAAGTATAAGCAGTTAGACTTTGCTAACTTGGCTTATTTAGATTTGAGAAGTGTAAATTTTATTATTTGCATCTGAGATGTAAAACTTTTTATTTATCAATATGGATATGTGCAATTGATCATGTTTGCAGGAAGCTGAACGTAAAAGCAGTAGAAGCCTTCCATTTTTGAACCCTTTTATAAAGATATCAGGCTTCTGATACATATTTATTTCCTAAGCTTTATCAACTACCAATTGATTTGAGTGGAACCCAATTGTTTTTTCTTGAAACTGTAGCCAGTGTTACATAGTTTCCATATGATAAAAAAAGTGAGCTTTATATAACTTATCATTTTTGTACTCAAATCTAAGTTAGATTAAGGGAAAATGACTTAAAAGTCCAACGAAGTTTCCAAACCATTAAAAAAACCTTAGTAATGTTTTGTCTCTTAAAAAAATCCAACGAACTTAACATTTTGTCTAAAAAATCCTACAAAGTTGTAAACTGTTCAAAAAATCCCAATTTTGTTTTGTTTAATTTCGTTGAGTTTTTTTTTAACAGTCAAAACATAATTGGAGTTTTTTAAAAGTTTTGGAAACTTCGTTGGTCTAACAAATCATTTTCCCAATACAGTAATAAGCCACGTAATCTATTTGTTTTATTTGACTCTCAAGAAAGTTTAACTTAGTTAGCATTTTTAGACAAAATGTTAAGTTCTTTCGGTTTTTTGAACAGACAAAACATAATTGAGGTTTTTTGAACGGTTTGAAAACTTCGTTAGGTTTGTAAGTCATTTTCCCTTAGATTAATTGCAGAATTGGATAGTTTACTCAAGGAGTTTGTAACATTTGAGTTTTTGCCACAAGATGGAAGATTTTGCTTCAAAAGCTTTGTAAATCTTGTGAAACTGAAGTAGAATTTTATTTTAGAAATTCCCTGCAAATAGAAACCATGGTTAAAATGCAATAAATAGCAGCATCCTACTTTTCTTTCTCTTTGATAACTAGAAAATATTTACACTGGTGATGGACAATGCATGTTATCGCTTAATCATTAATTCCTACTGTTAAAGCTTCAAAGTGTCATTATTGGATTGCACTTATCCAGGATTAAACATTTGTGGCAAGAAAAACCCTTTAAACATCAATTGAAACTTTTTCATTATTTGGGTGATATTTGCAGGCGTCCATCTGGCCAAGCTACATTGTGCGTGAGAGCAATACAACAACTAAATTCATAGACCTCATTTCTTATAAATGGACCAACATTTAGGGCTTAGAGAGGAGCTAATTTTTTTGGATTCAATATTACTAATGCATATCATTAGTCTAGTTAACAAAAATGATTTCCATGTCAATGGGATTATGATCAATTTGTGTATTTATTATTAATTACAATAAGGTTATAAATTAGTGTTAGTGTTATATAATAAAATTGAGAAGGGACTAATAATATTTATGTAAATTGATCAGCCGATTCCAGTTTCTTGAAAAAGAAAAAGTTGGCATTATAGCAAAAAGCTATATTGGTTCGTTGTGGAAGAAAAAAAAGGGACGGACATGATAACTGGATAAGGAAATAATTATGTCTATGGACCCTAGTATGGTGTATGCTTTCTAAGTGAGTTCCAGCTGCACTAATTTACACCATACTCGGTCTACGTACCTTTTTCTTCTTATCTGCAAATTGAGATTGCTTCAAATCAAAGCCCTCAAACAGAAGAACCGAATCTTTCCTTTCTCCAAATTCCAATGGCTGAAATCGTTGTTAGCGCCGTCATCACCGTGCTGTGTGAGAAGCTGATCTCTGGTGACTTGATGAAGCTTGCTCGATCAGAAGGAATCGATTCTGAGCTGAAGAAATGGAAGAAAAACCTGCCCATGATCCAAGCCGTGCTTGCTGATGCAACCCAGAAGCAGATTAAAGAGAGAGCTGTTCAACTGTGGGTGAACGATCTCCAGCATTTGGCTTACGACATTGACGATGTACTTGACGATTTGGCCACCGAAGCTCTGCGACGCAAGTTGAATCAAGAAGCTCAAGCCAGCTCCAGTAGTAGTAAGGTATTGAAGCTCGTCCCAAATTGCTGTACTAATTTCACTCCTCGCAACATTATGTATGGTCAGCAGATGAGTTCTAAGCTAGAAGAGATCACCACCAAATTGCATGATCTTGTTGACCAGAGAAATGATTTGGGTTTGAATGTTAATGTTGAAAGGTCAAATATAACAGAAAGACGATTGGAGCAAACTTCACTGGTTGATGAGTCCAAAATCATGGGTCGGGATGGGGATAAAGAGGCATTGCTGGGGAAGTTGTTGGGGAATGAAGAATGTGATGAAAATGTGAGCATAGTTTCCATAGTCGGTATGGGTGGAATAGGCAAAACCACTCTTGCCAAAGTTTTATACAACGAGCAGAAAGTGAAAGATCACTTTGAAGTCATGGCATGGATTTGTGTTTCTGAGGAGTTCGATGTGTTTAACATTAGCAAGGCTATCTTCCAAGCAGTAACCGGTAAAAATGAAGACTTTGCTAATCTCAATCTGCTTCATGTTGCCCTCAAAGAAGAATTTTCAAAGAAGAGGTTCCTACTTGTTTTAGATGATGTCTGGAACGAAGAGGACAGTAAGTGGGAACTCATACAAAGCCCTCTTCTTGCAGGGGCACATGGAAGTAGAATTATTGTCACAACCCGGAGTACGAAGGTTGCATCAGTGATGGACTCACAACAAACTTACCCTCTAGGCGTTTTGTCAAATGAAGATGCACTGTCATTATTTGCTCAACACGCTTTAGGAGAAAAAAACTTTGACAAACATCCAACACTTAGGTTGCTTGGTGAAGGTATGGTTCACAAATGTGGAAGATTGCCTTTGGCTTTGAAAACGCTTGGTAGGGTCTTGAAGGGAAATCGAAATGGCAATAAATGGGAGGAGTTGTTGAAGAGTGAGATATGGGATATTGATGATGGAAATAAGATTCTTCCGGCTCTAAAACTAAGCTACTATCATCTCCCTCCACATCTGAAGCAGTTGTTTGCATACTGCTCCATAATTCCCAAAGACTATGTGTTTCACAAGGATAAGTTAGTCCTATTGTGGGTGGCAGAAGGATTTTTGTCCCAATCAAAAGGAAACAAGTCAATGGAGAATTTAGGTCATGAGTATTTTGAAGAGTTAAAGTCAAGGTCCTTTTTTCAACAATCAACGAATGACGAGTTAAGATATACGATGCATGACCTGATAAATGACTTGGCCACAAGTGTTGCAGGAGAGTTTTCCTTTAGATTGGATGGTGAGGTGGATGCATCTGATATGAATGAAGCTTTTGATAAGTTTCGTCACTTTTCACTTGTAGGTCCAAGATCCGGATCATACAGAAAGCTTAATGAATTACAAAGAGCTAAACACTTGCGAACTTTCTTAGTCATGTCAGGTAATTTAAAGCACGATGGCTTATTGGAAAAGGTTCTTCTTGAACTACAATTCCTGAGGGTGCTAAGTGTCGCGGGATTGAATCGCATGTACCTAGGTTTTCAGAAAATCAGGAAGGTACCAGAATCCATTGGTAGTCTCAAGCATCTACGCTACCTTAACTTTTCTTTTACTGAAATCACATGTTTACCGGAAGAAGTGAGTGGCCTTTATAATCTACAGAGCTTGTTGGTTCATAGTTGTCATGAGTTATATATCTTGCCTGAAAGTTTTGCAAAGTTGATAAACCTACGACATCTTGATATAAGTGATACTCCAAAATTGAACAAGACGCCCTTAGGGCTTGGTGGGTTGACAAATCTGCAAACTCTACCCAAGGTCTTTATTGAAGAAGGTGACGGGTTCAACATATCTGACCTTAAGGGCCTAAATGATCTTCAAGGACGACTTTCCATTATCAGGCTGGACAAAGTGATAAATCCAATACAAGCAAAGGATGCCAACTTACACCAAAAGAAGGGTCTTGAAGTTCTGGAGATGAAATGGAGTAAAGTCTTTGATGATTCTCGGAATGAGACGATTGAATATGAAGTGCTTAAAGAACTAAGACCTCCTCCTAAGTTAAAAAACCTCAGGATTTTGTATAACAAGGGAACGAGATTTCCTAGTTGGGTCGGGGATCCCTCATTTGAGCAGTTAACAGAGCTTACATTATGTGGTTGCAGAAGTACACATTTAAGAGTTGGACATCTGCGTTCTCTTAAGAAATTGGTTGTTGAAAGGATGAATGAGGTGAAGACTGTGGGTTTTGAATTACCTGCACCTACAAATTATTTTCCATCACTTGAAGTTCTGGAATTTAGTTACATGCAAGGTTGGCAGAGATGGTCAATTGATAGTGGGGATGACCATGAAACTCCTAGATCATTTCCTCGTCTTCATGAAATTTCTATCAAATGTTGTCCAGTACTTGATGAAGTGTCGATCGGATTGATACCTTCACTTCGGTTTTTACGTATAGAAGAATGTTCTGAACCGTTGTTAAGAAGCTTGGTTGGTTTGTCCCCGTCACTTATTGAACTGAAAATGTTGAATGTTAGAGGACTTACCCAACTACATGGAGAAGTTTTAATGCATCTTAGGGCACTTGAGTGTCTTTGTATTAAAAATTGTGATGAACTGAAATATTTGTGGGAACAAGAATCAGAGGCATGCAAGAGTCTTGTGAGTTTACAGAAGTTGGAAGTATGGTGGTGTAAAAACTTGGTTTCATCACCTGAGAAAGAGGATAATTTTGGGATCAGCATGGAATCACTTAAATCTGTGGAATTTCATAACTGTGATGCACTGGAGAGTTACAATTGTCCAAATAGTGTTGAGAGGTTGGAGATAACTAATTGTGATTCAATGACATCCTTGACCTTCTCAGCAGTGCAGGAGCACCCATCCCCTCTTACTGAATTGATAATCAGTGATTGTGATAACATACAATTACACCCCAAACCCATTCCAGCAAAAGACTTCAGTTTGTCTCGCCTAACATCTCTTGACATCCGTGATTGCAAGAATCTAAAGTCAATCCCTTATGAGCATTTTCAAAGTCTCACATCTTTGGGATACCTGTGGCTAGAATATTGTCCAAGTATGGACTACTCCTTTCCTTGTGGGGTGTGGCCTCCTAATTTGACTAAACTAATGATAGGATGCTTAAATAAGCCCATGTCAGAGTGGGGTCCGCAGAGTTTTCCTACCTCACTAGTTGAACTAGAGTTATATGGCTACGATTCAGGAGTGGTTTCATTTGCAGTGGCAGAAGATGTGAAGAATACTACTACTACTCCATCATCATCATCATCTTTTCTTCTTCCACCATCTCTTGTTTCTCTAAGGCTCATTGGTTTTACAGACGTGGAATCATTTTCAGAGGTCTTACAACACCTCCCCTTCCTTAAGGAACTTTATATTATGAAATGCCCAAAGCTTGGAGATCTTAAGACCATTTACAACCCATCAAATGTGACAATATATGTGTGCAAGTAGAAAAGGTATGTCGTCTCCTTTCCCATCACATGTGTCTCTTACATAAGAGTGGTTATTCATTTCAATAATGTTATTATTATAATCATTGTTTCTTAACAAACGTGAAAGAGGGTTTTACAGCTTGTATCCGAATGTATTACGGCCCATCTCTTATGATAAACATCTCTTTTTTTTTTTTTTTGATAAATGTGATATTCCTTATAAAGTAAGATTTCAATTTCTGTGTACTTTTTTTTTCAATAACTATCCCAAAGTATTAGGAACATTAATTTTGAGACTTGTTTGTTTTGGTTTGTTGATAATACTATTTTTATACTGAACTAACAATCAAAACTAGTACAAAAATAAGACAAAACTATGACTGCAGTAGTTGAATAGCTTTTTGGTTTTTGTAGAACTTTTACCATTAACTTGCTATGTACCTTTATTACAACTGTATTATTTTATCTTCATTGCACCACTTCTTTGTGTATTCCTTTTCGTTGTCATGTTGTAGTTTTTGTAAATCTTGGCTTCGAGTGAACTTGTGCATTATTGAAAGAATTACTAGAAATCATAACAAAATTGTTTACAATTTGGACTTTTTCCAGAAACTTTGACCTTTTATTTGGTCATCGGTTCAGAAATTTTGACCTTTTATGTCAAACCCGGTTGCTTTGAGATGTTGATTTTGGTAATATTTTTGAAAATCAAGGCTATCTTAATCCCTTTGTAACCATTGTTATATAACTTCAGATTTCTTAACAAATTTGTATCAGTTTCTAAGTTAGAAGTAAATCCATTTGACATTAATACTTTTTCTGTTTTGGTAAAAAAAATATGGTCAAATTCTGTATAATTGATCAGTATATAAAGGACGATGTAAACATCATGACAACTTATTTGTTGTCATTAGTGATTAATTATAGAGATTGTTTATAAAATCATGTTAGAATATTCTGTATTATGTGATCTTGGCATGTTTCTATAAATTATGAGTTTATTCTTAGGAAGTTTACTCAATTTCTACAGGCCCACGTTGGATCAAGGCTGTCTACATGATGTCAGTGAAGGCAAATAAAGAATCAATGAGTTTCAGAAAAGTCATTATTTAAAAGGGAAAAAAGATATTGATGGAACTGCCCCTGCACTGTTGACAGGAACACAGGTTGAAATAGACACATGCATTTGAATGAACATATTGACTATTTCGAAAAACATTGCACCACACCTGATATTACTAAGATTTGATATGAAAGTTTGTAATAAATCTTGTTTTAAGTAGAATGCCATTTCAAGTACAATTCCCATATACATAATGGACAATTATGCCCCTAGCCATAAACAGATGCAGTTCCTATTTTGATTTCAAGTACATCTACCTCCACCCCCATTTGGTTAAATGCAAGAGAAAGCAATATACTTTATAGACTATAAAATGTTTACAACGAAATAGATTGATTCATCCTTCCAAGAAATGATGATGATACATGAAGATGAGAAACACAAACATAAAAAGATATTAGTTTGGTCTAATTCATTAAGCTATGGGGATATACCAATTTCATAAATAGAGAAAAAGAAATTTAAGATAAAAGGACGAAAATGCCCTTTACCTAGATTTTTCATATTGTACAATTCTTATGGTTGTAATACACAAATTATATAAATAAAATAAAAATATGATGCTCCATGACCACAGCGACTTTTTTGACCATAGTAACTTTTTGAATTAACTTTCATCACATATGATATTATTAAGATTAGTTATGAAAGTTTGTAAATTTTTTTTTTAATTACAATGCCATTTCAGGTACAATGCCCCTTTACATAATTGATAATTATGGCCCATGCACTTAAATAGATGCAGTTTATAGCACGATTTCACGTTATTTTGCCCGTCATTATTTCGTTAAATGAAAGAGAAAGCAATACACTTTGTAGAATATAAAATGTTTACAACCAAATAGATTTTCTCCTGCACAGTATTTAGAAAACACAGAATTCAGAGAAAACAACATATTGCCAAGTATAAATTCAGCATTGTACAATGCATTGGTGACACGGACTTCAGAGAAAAAAAAATACATTTTCAAGTTTATATTTCGTAACAATAGGAGGAGAGTATTACATGATTATGCAGTTGACACAAATTAATCGATGAATTGAAAGTTGGAGAAAGCACAAACAATTAATAAAACATCGGATCATATGTTATGAGGAACGATTTCATTCCAAAACAAATACATTGGGACATCTAATGATGATTGGGATAATTATTATTTAGGAAATTATTCATCTAATTTTACATTGATTTTAATTAATCATATCAATCATCCTAATTATACAATGTACATCCTGCAAATAGCGCTCGACATTAAGTGATATAGAGAAGGAATGAATGAACGGATTTTGAGTTGTCATTATCATTGGAATTAATGATTATAATGATGTGATTAATTAATATAATGATGTGGCAATTTAATGAAAAAGGAAAAAAAAAAATTGACAAGTGGAAAAAAAAATAAGTCTAAAATGTCTAGTAATTAATATTGGCATAGTTAATAAGAAGTTGCCATTGGCAAAAAATACTTTTGTTTTATTAGGGTAGATTTTAACTTATTACTTATTAGTGTTTAGATGAGTATCCCATTTCAAATATAATTTGCATCTCTTTCCCCCAGGTTGTTTCATATTTTACCATGGTTTTCTTTATATTTTATATACGATATTTCAAATGCTAATTCACATTTTTTTTTCCCCTGCATTTTCCAGGTTTTGTTTATATTTTACCATGGTTTTCATTATGTTTTATATAAGAAAATTATTGAAATAAATACATTACACAACATATATTAATATTAATATTATCTATTTTAGTTGGGTACAAATTTTCATATTTTAAAGTGTTCTGGATCAACATTATCACTGACATTTGTTTTTCAAAATTTAATTTAAGTTTTTCGGAATTAGTTTATATACACATTTTTTCATATAATCATAATAAATTTGTATTATGGTCGGCAAAATAACTTAGGTATGCGGTTCAACTCTTAATAATAAATTATTTATTAAATTTAAATTAAATTTTGTGGTCATATGCATTTCTTGTAAATAGAGGGCCTCTATTTTAGTTTTGCTTTGAGCCTAAAATATCTTTGGGATGCTCTCTCTATTAATTAATTATATGATGTAAAAACAAACTAAGTTAAATCATAAACAACTTAAATATCCATATCATTTTTGTTACTACACATCTTTATTTTATATAAAACAATGATATATGAAATGCATTAATTATCTTTTAGTCTATTCTTTTGATTTTTCTTTATTTTATATATAATAATGACATGTGAAACACATTAATTATCTCTTAATATATTCTTTTGTTTTTTTACATTTGTCTAGATCGAGACAAAAGGTAAGAGCATATTTGGTTTCTCTAAATCATATTATCACCTTAAAAAAAATTAATGAACTAATTTATCAATATTAATATTAATGTATGATAAAGTTCTTCGTTTAATTTGTTATTTTTAAACACATGTAGTATTTTTTTTTTAAGTGTTTAACAATAAAATTAAATAAAATCAATATATTACAATACATGAAATTAATATTGGGGATTAAAGTTAAACAAATTGATCATTCAAAAAAAAAACTTTGAAGGGTTTTTTTTAACGATAAATCTAATTACTCATGATGGAACTGAATAAAAAGGGTTCATGTACAACACACAAATCTAAAAAAAATCAACATAATAAAAGTGATTGCTATAACTGAATAAAAAAAACTATCTCAAAAATGTAAATCTTGTGAGGTTTATTCTTAACATAATCTCTCAAAAAGCTTTCATGTAACATCCGGTTTTGAGGTACGTGTTATTTAATTTAAGATTTGAAGTTTGGTGAGTCGCCACGACATGGGAATGATGGCCACGACGTGGCGAGGCATTTTCCAGTCGCGGGTCTTTTTGCCTTGCCACGACATGGCAACAAATGCCACGACGTGGTCGCCACTGATGTCTTAAGCCCTAATTTTTTGGGTTTTGCACCTATTTAAAGGAATGAGGAGGCTAGGGCACGCTCACCCTTATCTTCCATCACTCTCTTTTATCCAGAAGAAAACCCGAACTCTTTTCCTCCATTGTTGAAGCTTGCTTGAGTGTTTTGAGAGGTCTTGAAGGAAGAAGCAAGAAGAAGTAAGCCAAGGATCAGCAAGAGAGCCTCTATCTCCCTACCTAGCTCAGTTTTGGACTCTTGTAAGTGTTCATGGTTCCACCTATTTTATTACATAGTGCTAGATCTTGCATTTTGTCCCCCTTTCTTATTGATCTTGTTGGATAAGATGGTGAGACTTCATAAAGGTTCCAACTTTATGATTCTTTGGATAATTTGAAATAGTTTATGGTTTGGATGTAAAGTTTGGTTGTTTGTTTGAGCCATGCATGAGATCTTGGTCATAAAACCCCATTTTAACCTAAGTTGAGTCCAAGACTTGCATTGGACATGCATGTCTAAAAAGCATCAAACTGTAGGATTGTTTTAATGTTATAAGCTCTTTTAGAGCAGATGGGCTTAAGACTTAAGGGATTAAGTGCTTCTTGATTAAGTTATTGACATTTTTAGCCTTCTTGGATCTAAGACTTAAGATCTTGACCTCTTGGTGGGTCTCAAGGGATAAAAGTGGAAACTTTATCCATTTGGGCATTAGAAATGATTAATCTGGAATTTGGAACCTCTGTTATTGAAGATTCGATTTAACTCGATAAAATGTTTTGGATACAATTCCCACTGCATGGCCTAGGTTGCCACGATGTGGCGACTGGGGAAAACGCGACTGTCTTAGCGTTTGAAGGTCGATACGTTGCCAAGGATGGCCACGACGTGGAGGGTCAACTTTGACCGTTCACTTTGACTTTTGACTTGCATTGACTTTTGGCCAAACCCCTAGTCTTGGAAGAGAAGCTAAGGGTGTATTTTATATGTCTGTATAGGTGGTTGGTAGCATCTGTGTTCGCGGCAGTAGCAGCAGTTGCAGTTGATCATCGTTTGATAGGTGAGTCTCTTCCCTATACTCATGGGTCGAAGGCACCAATATCGGCCGATTGGATTGTGTTTGTAGGATTATAGTTGTCTTTGTGACATTTAATGATATGCTTGTATGTGCTTGTTGTTGTCTTTGTGGCTCTTGCTGATATGATGGTATGCTTAGTTGTAGGGGTGAAATAGAGTCGATATCGGATGAAAGAGACTGAAAGGGATGAAATAGACCCAGTACCGATTGAAAGAGACCGAAATGGGTGAAATAGACCCAATACCCGTTGAAAGAGACCAAAAGGGGAGGGGAGGGGGGGGGGGGAATTGACTCATTTTAGTTTTCTACTGTTATGTATGTATGGTATGAGGTATTTTGGGAGAACTCACTAAACTTGGTAATTGTATTATGTCAATAATAAGTCATGATTACAAAAGTATATATACAAATACACATTTACACTCTAAACCCTCTAATATATAGATGCAATTATATATCGTCTAATAGGGGTAAACTAAAGAGGCATAAAAAGGATGTCTAAAAATATTTGAGAAAATGGAGCAAAATATAAGAGGGAAAATCTGTAAAAGGGATTTAATGGGGAAATCATTCTTTCTTTATCAACTCAAAAGAAAACATCAATATATGTTCTACCTTCATTAATTACTAAATTTTTACATATTTCCCCTAGTTTATATGTTATAAATTTTACAATTTTTTGCAATCGAAGATAAATAATAATGTTTGCAGTAGCTCATGTGAATTTAAACAAGTAAAACAACGAAATTTGAGTAAATTACACGAATGGTCCCTATGGTTTGGGGTAATTTGCGTGCTTGGTCCCTAAGTTATTTTTTAAACTCGGAAGGTCCCTATGGTTTGTTTTTGTTACGCGTTTGGTCCTTACTGTTTATTTTTGTTATGCGTTTGGTTCCTGTCTTATGTAAAAAGACTATTATTTAAAAAGGAAAAAATGATGGGGTAGGTGAGGTAAGGTGAGGGATGGGATTAGGGGTGTGTTTATTTAAATAAATAAAAAAAATCAAGGGCATAATAGTCTTTTTAGGTAAGATAGGGACCAAGCGCGTAACAAAAACAAACAGTAGGGACCTTCCGAGTTAAAAAAATAAGTTAGGAACTTAACACACAAATTACCCTAAACCATAGGGACCATTCGTGTAATTTTTTTATCATAAAAGGTGCTCTGTATCTAATCAATCCTGTGCTATGCTTACACTGTCAAAGGATTTCAGGGGAACAACATTTCTGCAATACTTCAGTCTCTCCCTATAAACAGTCACTCGGAATTATTATTATTAGATGATTAATAAAGCCAAAAACTAGACAGCATAAAAAAGAGGTTTTGATGCAAAAAATTGCAATATATCGGGCACATTAATAGAAAAGAATTATCAATGAAGAGATAAGCACAAAAGGTAAGGAACAGAACGACAATGTAAGTAAAAAAATGTCATTGAGGCAATAAATCAAAAACATTAGATGCAATTACAAAT